TTCCCATTGGATCATCATAAACTTTCCAATCACATAATGGAGCTACTGAAGGGCTGACACATGTTACATCAATAGCCGAAGGATTATGAACAGATCTACCAACAGTGGTCGGCGCCCCTGAGTTGAGGATACAGAGGTCGCTCTCGTCAAATATATTGAAAACTTCATTACCTCGACCGTTACTAGTAGCACACCCGAATGCGATGTGGTGAGCATTAATATCACCTGATAGCAAAAGAGGCTTAGGTAGTAAGTTAATTATCTGTTTCAGTTTGCTACCATTAAATCTTGATCTATTTTCTTTAGGTGGTGGACAATATACACATAGAATACTTAAATTACCTATACCAGTTCTCAGATTAATAGCTACAGGTTGCAAAAAATCATAAAAGGGAAGCTCTATTATTGAATATTTCAAAGTGTCTTTGACTAGGATGGCGACTCCACCCCGCCCTTCTTTTTCTTTACCTATTTTACTAATTAAGTTGTAATTATGAATATGAAAAGAATTGTTCTCTTTTAACCATGTTTCATTTAGCAAACATATATCAATATCATTATCAATTAAGAATTTTATAAGTAATGGCTTTTTGTTAATAACACCTTCGACGTTAAATTGAGAGATTCTTATGAAACTTTTATCCATTTAAAGCCCTTTAAAACTTTTTATAAGAATTTCCTGAATAATAGAACTATTAACTGCCCTCGTTTCGTTGCCAATAGCGACAAGGGCGCCTACAAGGCCCTTGCGAATAAAATCATTGTTTATTATTTCGTCTATTAATTGTTCATTAGTAAGTGGTTCTTTTTCTTTAACTTCCATTGAATTAGTAGAAGTGGAAGAGTTCGTTGCTGATACAGAGCTAGCTTGAGGCTTCCTTGATGTAACAGATTTAGAGTTAGTTTTAGGAGCAGCCAATAAAGGAAACTCGCTTATATAATTTTTGATAACTGGGCTACTCTTTGTAGCCGAAGCATTGCTGGAGACCATATTAGCGTAAGTCAATTTATTTTTTTTATCTTCAATCTTTTGTTTTTTAACAGGACAGTCCCGTGAAATCGCAAGATGAGCTCCTTGACAGTTTATGCATTTGGCTATTTTATTTGAAGTACATTCAGAAAAATGATGTTCTTCAGAACATATTGAGCATTTTTGCACAGATTTACAAATTTTAGCACCATGGTTAAATTTGAAACACTTGAAGCATTGCAACAATGGAGCGTTGTATGGGAATACTCTGAACCTAAAAAGGTCAAGATACACATGTTCGGGTAACACAGTTGATAAAAATGTGATAGACACTGATTGAAAGGGCTTTATTTCGCCGTTGTCTTTTTTGGTGAACCTACGCACACCTATGATCTCATAAGATGAGGAGAGTTTCTTAAAAAGTTCCTCATTGCTGATACTAGTGGGTACAAAGCGAAGCACGCCGACTTTTTCTACTGCTGTGGCTGGGATGTATGCCTTGAGTTGGTGTTTGGTTAGGAAGGGATCGTTTTTCAGGAAGTTATTGGCATTACTAGACTGGGAAAATGTGACACATATTTTATTGGCGTTAATTCTTTTAAGATTGGTAATGCCCAAGATTTCATTTTTGAAAAGGTTGGTAGTCAGGATGGGATTGTTGTTCCCGATCTTCTCATTCTCTTTCGTGCTTTCCACAAATACAGAAAACTCGCCACTCACCGTGTTCTCCGCGAATAGCCTTCTATACCCTGGTTTTACGTACGGTTTGTAGAAATCTTCATCTGCACTCGTATAGGTGTGATCTCTATTTGGTGCCTTCCTTTTTTCCTTGCCCCTGGGCGGGTCCTTACCGTCCCCGTCCGGCATAGTCGAGTTTTAAGTTGACTTAAGGGGGTGCAGCGCGGACGAAAAACTACGACTTGATAGCCGAGCTAGCGGTGGCGCAACGAACTAACACGATCGCACACAAACTGCTTTACAGAGTAGAGACAAAAAAGACTCAACACAGAGTAAAAACACGTATTTTCACTAATTTTGCTAAGTAAAAAGTGAATTTATAATTCATAAAGGATGGTTAAATATTTTAATTAGGAAAAAAGGAAGGATTTGATTTTTGTTTGTATTGCTGCAAAAATTCTTACACAATTAGAATCCTATTTTAATTATTTTGATGAACATAGGCGTTAAAAAAGTTTCGTAAAAGAGTATTTTTCCTAGACATTCAATTCAAATAGGCTGTGTAGCGGCTTTCCATTCTATACATGGCCAAAACGCAAGGGTGTGAAAATAATCGAGTAATAGTTTGGAAATAACTATTTTACTAATCTCTTTCAAACTATTCTCGGCGTCAAATAAATCGCACCTCCCGCGACAAGCACTTTCAATATTGGTACCATTTGACAGCCTAGTTCTAAACTTCATTTCATTTCAAGGAAAGGTTTTTACCCTAAAAATGTCTCTTTAGAAGGATCCAGTGTCTTTTCTTAAAGTAGTGCCAGAAGAAAATCTTCAAAGTTATTGTGCGATTTATTTGATGCCTAGTGTATATGAGCAGTACGCAAATACCGCTAAATAGAAATAATGTTATGAATTTATTTATTTAATCCTACCAAATAAATTTATTTTGAAAAACCACGTACTTGCAAGAGTGTTAAAAATCTAGTTTTATATCGATTTGATAAAATAATAAGAAAGTAATAACAAATAAAATTAATCTTAAATGTAATTCCATATTATTATTATATTTTAACGGAATTTTACTGAATAAGTATGAAACTAATTTTTTAACACTCTTGTCAAGTGTAAGAGGTGAATAATAGTTTGGAGCAAAGACGCGAGCATCCACGATACAAATTATACACGATCAGCCCCCCTAGACAATTTGCATTTTTTTTATAGAATTGAAAATCGAATCCGTTTTTGACACTCTTCATACAAAAAAAAAAGACTTTTCGANATTTTAAGTTGACTTAACGACTTCCAATAGATAGATAACTATTTATAACACAGAAAGAGAAAAATACAAAATTGGCTTCAAAAATCGCGCCTAGTGCGTTCAAAAGCCCGCCAAAAAGTCCGGCCATTTTGGAGGATAAACAAAGTTGCCATATGTTAAATAGCAATTTCTACTACTCTATTTATGTAGATTATAAACAAAAATGTCAATGTTCAGTTTTAAATTAAAACAAATTTATTTCATTTAAAAAAAGTTTTCACATTGTAATTAACAATATTCTCAAATATTATTTTAATTAAGAAAAAAATGAAAATATGAAGGAAACAGGAGCAGCGACATCTAGAGCGTTTTAGGGTAGTTAAAAAGTATTTGAATTTATTCACCGATGTCGCTGTTTGGAAGCAAGTTTCACTTCGATGACCGTTGTATGGAAGTTTCCTCCACACCCTGATCCAAGCACAGTAAATACAGAAATTTGTTTTGTCATTAATTATGGAAAATAAGTAAAAGTGTGCCCTGTGTTCATAAATCTTAATTACTTGTTCGTTATAAAAACAAAATAAATAGTAGGATTGACTTCCCATTTTCGGGGAGGAAATATTATTCCAAATTAAATCTATAATTTGAGGTTATGTCCCAACCTGCAGCACCGAAGACTCCAGGGAAGAGTTGGCGTGAGATAAATCAAGAGCGGAAGGCTTTAAAGCGACAGCGCAATGAAGAGAAAATAATAAAACGCGAAAAAAGAAAAGCTATTGAAAAAGAGGTTGAGATTAAAATTCAGGAAGAGGTTGAGCAGGAGAAGAAATTGTTAGATATTTCCACAATAAGTATAGCGGTGCCAGGTTCCATATTGGAGAATGCTCAGTCAGCTGAGTTGCGTACTTATCTTGCTGGTCAAATCGCGCGAGCTGCTTGCGTGTTATGTGTAGATGAAGTTATTGTGTACGATGATATTGGAGATAAACTTGACACGAAAAAGTCTAAGGTAGAAGACGCAGATGGTGTTAGAGTGGCGCGAAAGAGCTGTGTCCAGCTTGCACGGATATTGCAGTACTTGGAATGCCCCCAGTACTTGAGGAAGCATTTCTTTCCCCTGCACAAAGACTTGGAGTTTGCAGGCTTATTGAATCCTTTGGATGCTCCTCATCACTTACGTTCGTCTAACAACTTTAAGTTTAGGTAAGTTGTTAATAAAATCAGATTAAGTAGAGTTCATTTTTGAAAGTGAAACAACATAATATTATTATTCTTACAATCAAGCATTGAATAAACAGATGTTTATTTGTCTTACAGGGAAGGAATAACTATGAACAAGAAGGTAAAACCAGGTCGGGGCTCACAAGTGAATGTTGGCTTGCTGCAAGACGTATCCACTGACAAGTTGTTGAACCCCGGGATTCGGGTCACTGTACGAATGCTCCCCACACCAGAAGGAAGTAAAAAGTTAAAAGGGAAAATTGTTGGTCTTACTACACCAAGGGCAGAAACCGGAGTATATTGGGGTTATACAGTCAGGATCGCAAATAATCTTAGCCAAGTCTTTACACAATCACCTTACAAAGATGGGTAAGAATAATTTAACTTAATGTGTTCTAACATGTGCTGCAAATAAACTTGGATTAAAAATAAGTATTGACAAATTAATTTTTGTTTCAGTTATGACTTGACAGTCGGTACTTCTGATAGAGGTACACCTATAGATGATTTACCACACAAGGAACTCTCATACAACCATGCCCTCATTGTATTTGGAGGTCTTCATGGCATAGAAGCAGCTCTTGAAAGTGACGAGCAATTGCAAGTTGGCGAAGCAAGTCTCTTGTTCAACCATTATGTCAATGTGCTACCTAACCAAGGGTCAAGAACAATTCGTACTGAAGAAGCTATACTGGTTGCCCTTACTGGACTGAGGCCTAAGCTGAAAGCACAAAACGAACCTATGGTGTTTAAAGAAACTGGAATTGCCACAAGCTCTATATTCCCAAATGACGTGAAAAAACCTGAAACTACTGACAACTCTGGAGGTGAAACTAATTTAGATTTAAGTAGATTTGATTAAAACTAATCATATCTTAACAATTGTTTTATTGTAAACATTTACAAAATTGGAAGACCTTATTTCCCCAATAAAAGGAATGTACTTAGTAAATAACAGTAACTAGTATGTTATAGCTTATTAATTGCAAGTTGTACTGTATCTCTGAGTGTTTTGATAGTATCTGCTTGATCAGCTGCTCCAATAACTGCTGTTCCTGAGACTATCATGTTGGCTCCAGCCTGAAAAGTAAAATTGTTGATGATTTTCCATACAAGTAGTAGGTATAAAGGTTATTAAGTAGGTAAAAATAATTTTGTAGTAGAAATAAACTTACATCAGCACAACAGCTTATAGTAGAAGGGCCTACTCCCCCATCCACTTCAATATCCAGAAGAGGGTAGTTTCTTCTCAGATGTTGCACTTTAGCCATCTGGTTTTCCATGAACTTCTGACCTCCAAACCCAGGTTCTACAGTCATGATCAACACCATATCTGCCATTGATATGTATTTCTCTACTTCTGATACTGGAGTTCCTGGTTTGATTGCTACACCAACCTGTATAATTTAATATTAGATATAGTTAACATGAAATGTTACATATTTGTAGTTAGGTAAGTAATATGACCTATTGATTTGGTAGTTACCTTCATGCCACTTTCTCTAACTTTTCTGCAGACATCCTCAACATTTGTCACAGGCTCAATATGAAAAGTATATTGATTTACTCCAGCATCAGCCATTGAAGCTATCCACTGAAAAAAATAATAGTGAAATATTAGGTAATACCAAAACGAAAGAATACTAATTTCCTTTGCATTGTGAAGGTTACAATACAAGGATTAGGATAGTATTAAGTAGGAAACTTACTTGTTCTGGCTTTGAAACCATCATGTGAGTTTCAAAGAAAGCATCCTTGATTTTTGAGCGAAGGCATTTCACGACTGGATGTCCAAATGTTAAATTAGGCACGAAGTGACCATCCATAACGTCTAAATGTAGATAGTCTGCACCATTATCAAGTAGTTTCTGAGATTCTTCAAAAAGTTTTGAAAGATCTGCATTGAGAATCGAAGGTCCAATAAGGGCTTTTAAATTGCGACTCATTTTCACAGTTATATAGAGTTGAAAGGCACTAGTAAGAATAATACTCCTCTAATCGCCTAAACACAATTTAACACAAGGTTACTGAAAAGAAGTAAAGAACTGAAGTTCAGAGGTTAGGATGTTGTTGTGATAATACCATAGAGAAAAGATAACACCAAGAAGCTAAAGATAAAAATGGAGGGCAGAGTTGGAACAAAAACTTGAGTCAAATACCTACTTATATCTATCTCGCTCTCTGCGGCCCTACCTCTCTTTTTTAGTGTGAACTGTAGTATATCTTCTGATTTAAATCTCCTTGTAACTTCTTTGAAATAGCCAATTCACTAGCCAAATCAGAAGTTAAACATTTGAAACTAAGATTACCTAGTTAAATAAGAAATTACAAAATTGTCGGCCATTTAGGCTTAATGTGTTGGCGAATCAGGGAATTACAATCCCAATTCCTGGGTAATCGGTACCATGTGGCAACATCGGCCCAANTTAAAGTCACTGACATAGCCCGATGGATTAGCAAGCTGAAGTGGCAATGGGCAGGGCACATAGTACGCAGAACTGACGGCCGATGGAGCAGCAAGCTGGCCCGACGACCTGATAAAGGTAGCAGGAAGGCGCTGGATGCAAGCTACTACCAACCGTGCGATGTGAAAGTCATTGGGGGAGGCCTATGTTCAGCAGTGGACGTCATGTGGCTGAAATGATGATGATGATGATGATGATGATGATGATGATAAAGGATCCTTCTACCTACACCACTCCCCAGTCCCCATGACCAAATAATTAACTTTATAAAAGACCTTCGTCCCAAACTGGATCATACTAGTCATCATAATGTATAATAACTACGCTGAACAGATGTTCCAAACTTAGTTTAGTTTCGTCTTAGTTCGTCTTACTTGCCCTGAATGTCTATCTCGAGGTAACTCCACTAAACTTAGTAGAAAACAAGTTCATTCGCTTGCAGACTTGTCTGAAAGTTTCTGTTCATACATCTTTATGACAGAAAACTGTTGGCTAGCTTTTAACATAGTACTCGTATTTGCAGTCGTTATTCTGCATTACTTTTTGCCCGCGGATTTTCTCAAGTCCACCTGAGATTATTAAAGCTTCGACCAAACCAACGCGTGCAGGTCGCATCTGTGAAGGCGATCACTGCGCGTGCATAGATCGTCGCGACCACAGATATGGATAGATGCAGCATGTGTCAAAAATTGTATGAAGCCGAGCGTGCCACTTTTTAAACGTCATTAGTGTCATTTTAGCGAATTTTAGTGATTACTACATATTTGAACGGCTCCAATAGGACAGGGATGGTGAACCAATGGCACGCGCTAAAATATTAGGGCATGTCACCAATCACAAAATTTATCATTTCAGCCAAAGAACGTCCACTGCTGAACATAGGCTTCCCCAATGACTTTCANTGGCAGGCTCGGCGCTGGTCGCTCGAAGTAAACAAAGGGGCGCGTCGTGTTACAGACTCCCCCTCTGGCTCCGAAGACGTCCCGACGAGAGAGCCAGGACTGGTGTGGGTGGCGGCTTGCTGTCATCTAATTGGTTTGGGATGTCATCTTTTTCGGCCGTCCACGCCTACGCAATGGCGCGGCGGGGGCGGCTGGAGGCATCGGCTTTTTGGGCCGACCGCGCTGATGGAGTGGCGCGGCTGGCGCGGCCTGAGGCGCCACCTTCTTAGGCCGACCACGCTTGCGGAGAGGCGCGGCTGGACTGGGCAGGGGCGCTGACTCAGGGCTCAGGAACGGGCGGAGCGCTGATGCGTGGTACAGGCCCAGGCACTGGTCAGGAGCATTGGGGTCTGCAATTTCAAAAGAACCAGGTCCATGACTTCGTAGGATCATATAGGGTCCATCGCGCCTTGGTGCTAACTTGGCGCTGAACCCCTTTTGAGAGCTGCTGAGAACATGAGAATCTACCATAACAAGATCACCGTGTTTATATTTGGGTCGTTCCCTTCTTTTCTTATCTACGTATTCTTTTCTCTGTTCTTCTTTCATCTCCTGTATTTCTCTTGCTTGTTTTAATGTATTTGCTAGGGGTGCGCCAAAGTTCACCTAAATTTTCAACTCCGAAAATTGGAAGTCCGAAAATGTTCTTCCTAAAATTTTTCATCCTAACAATCACAATTCCTAACTACTCTGTCTCTAATGTTCATAATTCCGAATCATTCAACTTCATAATGTCATTAGCAATAAACATCTATTATACTTTTATTTGTTCTCCTAGATTTTCTAAACATACCCATATTTTACACTATTATTGAAAGTCATATCTTTTTTGTTTAGATTTCTTTCTTTGACGATATATTAAAGTTCAAGTTTGTTGGCATTAGCACGTATACCTACTTGAGTCCCGCTCCAGTCATTCAGTCAAGTTCCAGAAACGAATCGGCCCTATTCATAATTATTGGTTTAGGTTAGGTTAGAACTGTGACCACAACGCACCAGCCGAGCGAGAGAAGCCAGAGTCCCGCTCCAGTCATTCAGTGAAGTTCCAGAAACGAATCGGTCCTATTCATAATTAATTATTGGTTTGGGTTAGGTTAGAACTGTGACCACAACGCACNCTTTGAGAGCTGCTGAGAACATGAGAATCTACCATAACAAGATCACCGTGTTTATATTTGGGTCGTTCCCTTCTTTTCCTATCTACGTATTCTTTTCTCTGTTCTTCTTTCATCTCCTGTATTTCTCTTGCTTGTTTTAATGTATTTGCTAGTAATATAAGTTTTGGTGTTATTTCGTGTATAAAATTCTCCTTTTCTATAATTGCCTTTAGTAGTAAATGAATTGGGAACTCTAGCACAAGCAAAACAGTGTTCAATCCGAACGCTCGCCGCAGGCTCGCTTCGTCACTTCGCTCCTCGCCGCGGCTCGCTTCGTCGGATTGAACCCTGTTTTGCTTTCTGGGTCTACTTCTAGTCCCTTTGGAGTTATGTAATGGCCAAGGTATTTAACCCTCGAGCAGCAGAATTTGCATTTGGCCCTGTTGATTGTTAGATTGTATTCACGTAGTCGGTCAAATACTTCTTGAAGATCCTTTAAGTGGCGGTCGTAGGTCTCCGACAGCACAATGACGTCATCAATGTAGATAAGGATCTTTATGTGGCTCAGCGAGATTCGGAATCTGTCCATAAGTCGCTGGAAGGTTGCCGGTGCGTTTCGCAAACCAAACGGCATTCGGACGAACTTGTAGGTTCCGAACGGGGTTACGAAACAAGTCTTGTCTTGATCTTGCTCTTGTACCTTAATCTGCCAGTAACCAGACTGTAAGTCTATCGTGGTCATATATGGCGTAGGTTTAGCTCCATGTAGCAAATCATCAATCCTCGGCAACGGATACATATCTGGAGTTGTGATCGCGTTCAGTTGTCTGTAATCCACACAGACTCGCGTTCCTCCATCTTTTTTGGGCACCATAACCACGGGTGCTGTCCACGGCGATTGACAGGGCTGAATGACACCTGCAGCGATCATTTTATCGACCTCTTGTCTTAAAAGTTGAGTTCGTGCAGACGACAACCTATAGGGTGCTACCGAAATAGGTCTATGATTACCTGTGTCAATGGCGTGTTCGATCTGTGTTGTGGGCTTACCGTTAGTAGTGAAGGCGTCTTCATTCCTTCTGAGGAGATCTTCTAACTGCTGGTGTTCCGTATCACTCAACAAGTTAATTGACGCGATATCACTGGACTCGAATAACTTTTCTAAGTCGGGGGACAATTCGGTTTCATCGTCGTACGTAGTGAGGCTATTTTTCGCGTCAAAATAAAGCGCATCTAGTACGGGTGAATGTCCGTCAAACATGAGTCGTGGTCGCTTATTCGGTGGGGTAGACAGATCGATTGGTATCAATGGTCCATATACCTGTCTTGGTGGAGTGGACGCATTGATAATGTTGGCAGTCTCTGGCACCTCATGAGCAATTTGCAATGGTGTTGTGGCTTCAATAGGCTCAGAGTGCTCACTGCCTTCTTTCGCTGTCACAGGCCTCGCTGGCTCTGGATCCTTGTTCAAGGCGGGTGTGGGTGGCTGTGGCGACTTTGGGAATTCAGGCGTTCTGGCAATAGGGGATATCATCGGTGGTAAGTTGAATTCATCCTGTAATTTGTCGATGATTACTTGATGGATGTCTTCCTCCTCAAGGTCGTAAGCAGTCGAGGGGTCATCCAGGAATCGGCAAGTCATCTGAGGGATGTTCAACATTAGCATCGCGTCCATGATGAATCCGACCCCCAACAGTGTGATGTTGCGCGTAGCCTGGGGTAAAATCACGAAAGTGGAGGGCACAACTCTTCCAAATATGGTGATGGGAGCCCTAACTGTTCGGACCGTCTGGTGCTTGGGGATACCGTCAGCGAGGGTGATGCTCATCTCCTGATCTTTGAAAAAGTACCCATTTTTCTGGAGTTGACGGTACAAGGAGTATGAGGCAACATTTGACCTGGCTCCCGTGTCAATTTGGGCTGTTCCCTTGATATGACCGATTTGGATTTTGACCACAGGTCTTAGGTCCATCTCTCCTATTTTAATGCCGCAGAAGCTAGCATGGTCTGTGGTGGTGGCTGGCCTCCGCGTTGAGCACTTTGGACACCGGCTACGGATCACGCCAGGTTCTCCACAGCCGTAGCAGGAGAACTTCGTCACATGCGTCGAGGCCTTGACGTCTGGTTCCTTGCTAGTTCCAGCCTCTGCCTGATCTGCCTTCGCCTTTTTTCTGCAGACCTCGATGGTATGTCCGGCCAAACGGCAAAAACTACACCTCTTTGGTTTGCCTGGCGTACCACTTGGTCGTTCGGAAAGCTTGGTCTTCTCATTCACATGTCTCTCCACTTCTCTGGCTTTCTCCAGCAGTTCGTCAAACGTGTGGACATGCTCTCGCACAACCTTTTCCCGGATGTCAAACCTTATCTGCCCATACACCAAGTCGATGAGCTGGTCTTCCACCAATATGTGGCTTTCAGGCAGCTGTGCGATCAGGGCTCTTTTTTCTGCTATAAAGCTCTCGGTCGTTTGGTTTGTCTGGCTGACCTTCACAATCTCCTGGTAGACTACGTACGGCAATTTCTTGGGAGCAAAAGTGTGTCTGAGCCTCGCCTCAAAATCAGCCCATGTCCCGACCTGAGCTTTTACCCCTTGCCACCATGTCGCAGCGTCACCCGTTAAAAGTAAAGGCAAGCCGGTGAGAGCATCATCATCCTGTATACGCTCTAACTTCTTGTATACATTAACGGCTGCCAAGAATGTCTCCACATCGGTGGACTTTCTGCTTCCTCCGTAGCGTGCTGAGCACTGAGCCAACGTGCTCGTGCTACGGGATTCTCCCAACCTCATCAGCAATCGCTCGAATTGCGCCTCTGATAAATTCATGTCTCCGATCCTGTGTTTATGATGATGATTAACTATAGTAACCCTAGCTCGCGGGACTGAGAGAGTAGGTTGTCTGTGTGGTTTTGGTCTTAAATTATAAGTGGTTCGTGCCTCAATGGGNATACCTATGTCAAGAAATAAAGATTTTACATTGGTTTCATTGAATTTGAGCAATTTTATATTTTTTGATTATTTAGAAAGAGCGAGTCTGCCCACAGAGAGCGAGATAGTGATACTTAGTTTGTGCTTCAAGTAGGTATTCGGAGTGTGGCCTCCATTTTTATCTGTAGCTTCATGGATAACACACCGCCTGAACTTTTTCAAGGTCATAGCTGTCAAAGGGTGACGTTCATTTGACGGATACGTTTCGTTTTGCACTGTTTTGCACGGTGCATGATACGTGAGCACTGTAATTTTTTTTAAAACTTTTTCCTGGGTCTCGGTCTCAAAAAATATTTCATTCGGTTTATTGGTCTAATAAAGTTTTGAAGCGTGAAAGGTGATAAAACTAAGCTATTTTCGCATTTGTATTAATTTTATTTCTTCTTCTGTCATATAAATTGGTACCAAAAAACCAACTTAAGGCGAACTTGCTGCCATTAGGCATACTCTACCAGGTAACCTTTGGGCTAAACAGAAAAAAAACCTGTGTTCGTATGCATTGTAGAGCAGGTAATACGTAATACTAATTATAGCTATAGGTAAAGCTATAAATACTTAAATTCAAATCCTTAAAAAAAGTTACACTTATCCCTAAACCAACTTGATTATTTTCGAGGTATAAGTAAGTAGTCTATGTGGCACTATTTTTGCTAGTTAATTTAATTTAAATGCTGCCTCATTTAAATTATAATAATTGTGTGGCATTTTTGATATTTAATTTTATTCAATTTATTATTCAGTCAAATACAGCCGCTATAAATTATTGTGGTTCTAATGTTTGTAACAACAGTAAACAGCATACACTTTGCAAGTTCAAGGTATGATCTATCTAAACTTTAAAATTTAATTAAATATAATATGACATTCATTATTATACAAATAAAAGTGTATAGGTATTTACTTACTATACATTTTGAGAAGTTATTTACACTGTTCGGTTAATGATCTACTTATGTGTGAGTTGGCAGATGGAAATCTTTGAGGGTGTTTCATTCATTCTCTGTGGTAATCACGTTCCTATATTAATCATGGATACGAACCCATGGCAATTAACGCCCTATTCATTTAATTAATTTACAATAGTATCCGAGGGGTATCCATCTTGCCCCAATTTCGATATTGACCCCCTATTACTACTTAAGTTCTCCCAATTAATGAGCGCAGGTAAGTTCCGGGTGTAGGCAACGTGAAATCATGATAGCTTATGCACGTAGCCCACTAATCAACCCGGAAAGGATCGTAACCGTATCAACTCGAGGCAGTCAGTATTCTTTGTATAAAACTTCATATTGCAACGCACACTAAGTCTTATCCGCATCGTAACGTAAACGCCTCGCTTGGCGAAAAGTCGATGACAGCTCACCCTCCTCGCTCCCCTTTCAGAGTTGATGAGTCTGCTATGAGCTTTACCTATTCATATCTAAAATCGAATTTTATTAGTTACTTAAGTAACTAGGAGTTAGATCCTAGCTTTAAGGAGTTATTTTGCAGTTGAAACCAACTAGGTTTAGGGAGTTCGTTTCAGATAAATGACGTCCACTGCTGGACTAAGACCTCCCCTAAGGATTTCTATTGTGTAATGATCGGTCCTGCGCTGCGGGCTGGGAGTGAGGAATGAATAATCGCGTTTCTAAGAGAAGTACTTAAGTCATTTATGATCTTCAAATTAGTCTTCAGGTCCTGGACCTAACTGCATTGGATATCAGAAGACAGTTACAACAGACGACCAAAAGAATGCGTTGCTGGAAAAAATCAACAGTCAGCGAAATAAAATAGCAGCCGGGGAAGTACGATCGTTCCCACCAGCCGAAAACATGATGAAACTGGTATGCATGGAATTTGTATAAAATAATGTTAAGTTTATTATTTAATTGGGAACTCTTAGAAGAAGGGAAGGGAAGTCTCTTAGGTATGAGCTTAGTACTTAGCTAATTACAGAATTCCACAACGAATGAAAAGTCAGTAGAAACAGCAGAGTGAATGGTAAAAGATGGGAGTCTTTAGGACAGCAGAGTGAATGGTGATCTTATTATTTATTTTGTCATAGGAGTGGAATGAGGAACTGGAGGTATCAGCCCAAAGGTGGGCAGACCAGTGCGTTTCCCAAGGTGCAACAGACATACAGGACGACTGTCGGGACTTAGGTCAGTCAGTAATTTTGTTCAGCTTTATTCAAGTTTGATAACTTAGGTACCTACATTTCACCTGTTATTTTCTACGATCTTTGGCTGGGTTGCACCATATTACTTTACTGTAACAAACGTCAGAAATCTGTCAAACTTCATACAAAAATCACCGGTTATCGTTAAAGTTACGGTCAAAGTTTGGTGGTGCCACTCAGCCTTACCACGCCTTACTCAGTCAATAAGTAGGTCCTAATTGATGTAATTTCGGAATTCTCATTGAAACAAAAAGACCTCCAGAGCTTTACAAAGATCTCCCCTAAAGTTTTCCATGACAACTGGTTCTCCGCTGCCAGCATTCTGAAGCTTCTCGCGGTACCTTTGCCGGATCATCGGTTGCCGAATAAAATTACAAAAAATATACCATCATCCCTATCTAAACTATACAGTGTTAGTCTTGATAAAGTGCACATATTATGAAAATGGTTCTAGTTTCACCCATTTTCATATTTTATTATGTGCTTTATCAAGACTCATACTTGTAGGTAGGTAATAGGAATTAGTTCAAATGCTAGTACCTAATGCGTCGATCTAAAAACTGGAAGAGCTAGGGATAAATCGTAATAGAAATAGAGTTAAATATCAGGGCCTCACTCTATTGAGTTAAATGAATTGTACATATCGAGCACTGCTGACCCTTTTATCTATTTGACCTTCCAAAAGTAGATTTAGTTTGCTGTTGACTAGGAGTCGATCTTACATTCTGAGAATACTCCTAATACAATTTTGAACTAACCCCTACGTTTTCAACTGAAAGTAAACTTCGACTGAATATATTTTGTTTATACCTAGGTAACTAACTTGAAAAACGTAAGGATCTAGCTTTTCCCCATTTTCTGGCTGTTTCTGTTCAACAATCGCCTCCAGGATTAAAGCTAGTTTTATAGTCAAACTGACACATACACAGCGCAAATGTATGTATTTAGACCCGTTTTATGGCTTCAGCGCTGTCTACCAGGCGTTTTGTGCTGCGTATGCCATCTGCGCTTACCATAAACGTGACTATAAAACCAGCCTAAGTTGACAAAAGAGACCACAGTGGTCTGGAGCAGTGGGAAAGGACCGTAAAGAAGTTTTAACGAGATCACATTTAGGTACTTTGGTCTTTCTTTTAACAGTTTATGTTAAATGAGCCACGAAGCTCGCAAAGTCTTTGATTAAACTTATGAAGTTGTAATCTAGTTTCTTTGTGTTTGTATGGTGTTTGTTCTATTTGGTTAATTAGTCACGAAGAGATATTTTTAAATTCTTTCTTATTGATTCTTAAAAATGTCGATCTCGTAAAATTGAAACTTCTTACTTATCTATTTAGAGATTACATAATAGTGTTAGTTACATTTTGTTTGGATAGGTACTGCAATAGTATTTTATTAATTGACAGGAAAAACAGAAAAGCTGAGCTATTAAGTCTATAAGCATATTATCGTATCTTATACCTAATTATATATTACCTACCCATCAGCTGTATTTATGGTCAAATGCAGACTCTATTTTACATAGAAAAACCTACCTATGATAACATAGGTTAGCTCACTGAATTTATATTCAGTAGCCTAAGATTACATAATAAGTAAGTAGGTAATTTAGCTAGGAAGGACCAAATAACTTTTATATCGAAAGGTATGTCCCTAGTGGTTTTGAGTGATTGATTGCTAAAGTGAAATTAATATTATCTATGTTGAGCATACTGAGGCAGCTGAATCTCTGTTTGAGTCATTTATTAACTAATTTTAAAATGGTCGGAGCCTGTTAGCTCGGACTATGGACACATGCACTCTTACGACTCTCTCTCACCAAAAGTTAAACGTGCGTTGAAAACTTGTTTAAAATTACGTTTAGAATCGAAAGTTATTATCAAATCAACAAAATGTAATTTTATAGTCACTGTGGCCGTGGGTCAGAACATCGCGTCGGTGTATGGCGAGGCTCCTGGTCTGTCACCACTCTCTCTAGTGGACGTCTGGTATATGGAGCTGCTGAATAGCAACTCTTCTATCCTAAAGAGGTACCTGCCGTGAGTATCAATTCACATCTTCATTATACTACTTGACTAAGAGTAAAACATGTGAACATCGGGTCTTCCTAAAAATCCGTAGGCCAAATCCTCTTTGCTTGTGGTAAATTGGAAAGGATCATGTTCCTGTAGCTTGATGAAACTGTAACACTTCTATAAATGACTAGCTGTGCCCGCGACTTCGTACGCGTGAAAATCCGTTTTCGCAACATTTTTCATTATTGCTCTGCTCCTATTGATCGTAGCGTGATGTTGTATAACCTATAGCCTTTTTCGATAAATGGGCTATCTAACACTGAAAGAATTTTTAAAATCGGACCAGTAGTTCCGGAGATTAGCGCGTACAAGTAAACAAACAAACAAACTCTTCAGCTTTATAATATTAGTATAGATGATGAATCCTCCGAGGGGAATCTTTCGACTATAAAATTTGTTGTCAAGACCTACTTACTCGTGTCTAGGTAATTTGAAACACAACACGATACACAGTGGCATCTTATCACATTGTGATACAGGCTATTTTGCTACAAAATATCAAGTCTGGTGTGCTTTCGACTTTATATCAAAATGTATTAATTATTACGTTTCAGGTCAATAAACAAGGGTTTTCCGCATTACGATTACTTCACCCAGCTCGTGTGGGCTCGCTCAACCGAAGTTGGCTGCGGAGGGGCGAAGTTCCAAGTAAGTGAAATCGCTTAGTATGCACAGCACAGTGAGCTTTAAGTGTTGATCGATAAGTTTAAAAATAGACCGTCTGCTTCATTATGTAAATTCTAAGGAACACCTCAGATATTTTTAGAAAGTAACTACTTAACTTTTTGCTCCGAAATCTTATTTAGGCAACACGCGCTACATAATTTAGGTAATTATTTAGTTGTTTACAAAAGTATTTTTTCTTCCCAGGAGCGGTTAAAAGATACTAAAGATTCCAGAAACAGGACAGTGCATAGACTAGTCTGTAATTTCGCTCCAGGTGGGAACATCTTAGGGGAACCCGTATATTCCGAAGGACCCCCTTGTTCAAGATGCCCAGACGGAGGAACCTGCGATTTAGAACACACTGCTCTATGCAGTAAGTGTTATAATGACCTAATAATTTTCGAATTTGCATGAAAAGCTAGCTAATCCCATTCTTATTTTTTAAAAATAAGGTTCACGAAGAAATAATAAAACATATTCAGTAACTAACGAAGAACAAGAAAATATAAATACTTCAGTTAATGCAGATTACCAATTACTACCATCCGATGAAGAGTTCCTAAAGGAAAATGCTACGACCATTCCCGAAATTTCGACGAATGTTGAACCTATAGAAGAAGATAAAAATATAACCGACTTTGACTATTTCTCTCATCTCTATGATTTTACCCGACAACCTGTAACAATAGCTACAAAGAAAGTAACTAATCCATGCAAAGATTCAATGGCTGTGGATGAGTTTGTTGAATTATTGAAGAAAAAGTTAAGCAGCGATTCGATGTTCAAAGAATTGTTGCTTTCAACAAAAAATCCGTCTCAAAATGGTAACATGGATTCTACTTATAGTGACCCCAGCGTAGCAGCATTCGTTAGTAGAATTTATAGCAAGAAGGTACCAACAACAACTACAAAGATACCTGAATTCGATTACGTAAATTCCACTTTGTTAGTGGACTTAGTTGAAGCTGTGATATTTAGAAGCAGCGGTAAGATATTTTGTATCTTTAATGGCGTCATTAAATGACAATAGGAATAAAAGACTATTCTATTGCAGATAAGACCCATGCAACTGAAGTAACCATTGATACTTTACAACCTGCATCAGTTGGTCCAATCAAAATACAAGCAGAACTGGGTGAAGTCAAAGTTAACCATGACTTCACGGGACATTACTTCTTCCCTGAAGATATAACTGAAGAATCTGCTATTGAAACAGTCGACTCATATTATGACTCATCCAACGTCCCTGTATCAGATGTTATATCAGAAATAGAGAACTTAAAAAGAGATAAAACGACACAGGATTTTTTGGACGAAATTATTGAATCTGATTCCGCCACAGATGAAAGTACGACAACGTTTAGTACATTATCTTTTGGTGACATAAACTTACACAAAACTGGTCAAAAGGTTTTAAAAAAGTTTTTGGAGGAAGTTGGGGAAACAGGCTAAATGTATGAAATGCATTAGTATGCGTTTGTTAGTGATAAACTTTGCTCTATGTTTCTCTAGATAATGTACGAAGATTACATAACTAATTGATTCTAATGATTTGTTTTCAGGTAAGGTAGAGAGAAAAAAACGAAAAAGTGACGCACAATATTTGGAAAGCTTATATGACTTCGACAATAATAACTATAATGTAGCAAGAAAATCAAACCCCATCGAAATAATAGTTAATTCTTATGATTATGAAGATGAAAATATCAAAGTGAAATACGATGATTTACTGAGAAAAATTGCTGAAGATCTAAAGATGTTAAAATTAAATAAAAGATTCCATTGTTCCGCAAATGGTGCCATAAAAATAAATAATAATATATTTTTGATACAAAAGTTATACCTATATACTTTTTATTTTAGTAAATATATTTGGGTAAAGATTGATTGAAAGACGAAGTTTTCTTGTACTTTAGTTTCCGAAATCAAAGATAATTTAGATCAAATAAATACATTGAATATCAGATTATACAAAAATATAAAAAGAAAAATGGAAATAGATCCTCGGAGCAAATGAGCAGAATTACATAAACACACACTATTATGAAATGAATTTTGACCTCTTTTCCACGTCCGTATAATTTTTTGTAGCACCAAATAATATAAATCACCATAAGACAAGTTCTCTTCGGAACGTTTTTGTCTTTTTACTTCGCTAATACTAGGGTGCAAAATGTTAGTGTTCTCATCATTATCATTTCTTTTCATTCTCGAGGTTTCTTCGTAACAAAAACAATTGGCGTCTATTGAAGTTGTCGGGATTGTGCTAGAGATATAATCAATATCTGTACTGACGTAGCTTTGTAATGAGTGTATCGTAAAAGTTGTTACATCTGTACCAACTTGATTCTCCATATTAGGTTCAGCTTCGAAACTAGAATCTCTTCTGCGAACATTCAAAGCACGCTTTTCACAATAATCCTCGTCCTCCAAAGTAGTTTCAGTAGAGCTATCATCGATTGAGGAGAATTTGTTTCTATTCATAAAATCACGAGTGCAAGTAGAGGTTCTTGTACATCCTTCGACATAGCCCGGTGGAGTTCGGGAGCCTCGGTCTCCTCCTATACCTGGAATTATGACGCTTCCTTCAGCATTTGTAACAGTTGGAGCAGTCCATGTACAAGTAAGTTTTCGGGTGCAATGTTTTTTCCTCATAAAAGGTGTGTTCGCAGTGTACTCAGATGATGCGCTTGTGGTAGCAGCATCGGGAGCAGCACGTCGTCTTGCGTCTGTAGTAGTGTCTAGAGTACTAAGTTTTCTAAGATGCATTAATTCATCAAATGATAAATACTTCTCTGTTACAAGACCCTTTGGATTAGGTTTCATATTAGATGCATCTTTCAATTGTACTGTTATCGATTCTGTAGTTTGAGAGACTTTAACAGTGGTAGTAGTTCGTCTAGTCTTCCGAAACTTTTTATTTGATAATGTTGTGTACAACATAGATCTTAACTGCGTAGATTTATCTCGATTGTATTCATCCATTTGCCAAAAAGGTTTAAACGTTACTTCATCTATAGGACTACGTCTTTTTCTTTCTCTGGAATCAGATGAATCATACATGTAATCTGGGACGTGTCTAAAATTGTCTCTATTTCTAAATTTTTCTTTTACCTGTCTTTGATCATGTTTTATTTTATGTGGCATTCTTTTATACATGTCAGGGATTGTAGTATCGTGTTGAAGCCATGTATCTTTTGGGGTGGTGATAATATTGTCTTTTGTTGGCAATTGATCTTCTTCATTGTCTCCACTACGAATAGCCATATTGGGCAGTAAATCGTAGTAATGTAGTTCAGCTGCCTTTCTCGTATCAGCTTTTTGATTTGGCTGTGCGATTGCAGGGTTATCGTCATTGTTTTGTGTTCTACGTCCTGATAGACATTGAGTTCCTGAGTCAGGATTAAAACATTGGCAGTTGGAGTTGCATTGGCACATTGGGGGCATAGTGGCACAGGTGGCTCTGGGTGTATTGCACTGGCACATGTCGCGTGGGCATCCAAGTTTAACAGTCATGATCGGGCACGAGGTGGTGGTTGGAACTACTTGGCAACAGCTCGTAGTTCCATGCCGTGTGCATTGATTTACTTGGTGGCTTGATTCGCAGTCACTTTCTTCTGCATGAGATCTCCTTGTGCATTGATGATATCTGTTATATTTCCTCAAATCGTTCGCGGCTGGTTCACCAGCCTGTTCAGTTGTATAATCAAATCTTCGATAATTTTCAGATGTGGATTGGTCATTGATATTGGATGCAAAATTATTGTTATGTAATTCATGTCCATGGTAAACTCTAGAGTGTCCCCTCTCTTGTTGATATTGTTGTGGTCTTTGAACTCTGGGCGTCTGGGAGTAAGCGTTAGCAGGAGTATTCCATTGGTTTTGCATTGGTAATCGTGGTATATTTCTTAAACCAGCTGTAATAAATTGTTTGTTTTTAAATTCTTAATCTCTATAAAATGAAGTAAAATCTATCTGGAACTTTTTAATAAATAGGCACGACATTAAAGATAGGCATATCTATACGGTAATTCTAACAAAAGGTAAGGGTCTATGGTGTAAGTTAAATATAAATAACATTTACCATGACTGTTATTAAAAAATACATGTCTAGTCTTAGGATTCCTCTGGCGGATCGATTCATTAAAATTCATTTGTCTTAAGTTATTCCGGATGGGGTCTATGTCCAGTTTGACTGAGTTATTTGATAAGTTGAAAATCCTAAGTAAACTGCTCACTGGAGGAGAGGGTGTTGTAAGAGTTTTGTCTGAAAATAAAAGGTATTATTAGGAACTTATAGTCGGAAGAACATCAACTTACTATATATATATAGTAAGTAAATAAATATATTTGGATAATTTCACACAGCGCTATCTAGCCCCAAAGTAATGTGTTATGGGTGCTAGGTAAGCGGATATACTACACATAATATATACTTTTTTAAATACATGATTATACATAGTAACACACAGACCCGTCACAGAAATTTAATCATTTCAATTTCTGCCCGGCCGGGAATCGAACCTCTCGGCATAGTAGTCCGTTTTAGAACCACTACACCAAACAGCCGACAAAAGAGATACATTTTAAATCTAATGTAGAAATTCGTCATTTTCATCGACTGCACTTAATTCAGCCCCTAAAAGTTGCAATTATGGACTAGGATTAAAAAATAAATGATAACAAATTAAGAAATATTTACCATTATCTTGTATCAAGTGTGCACACAAGCCCTTATATCGTTGATCCTGTACCTTATTGTGTACACATTGTGTCGCTGGGAAGCCTATGGCGTACACAGGCTTCCCGTGGAGATTTCCTTTGGGCGCGAAATTGCAAACTAATCTCTCTATGATAGATTTTCTTTCTGCCACCTATAATAAAACTTCCTTTAATATTTACTAGCTTTTGACCAAGGCTTCGTCCGCGTTTGTTTCGATAAATAAATATCCTGAGTCGTATATTGGTGTTATTCTATAACATTGTAGAGTTTCATCAATAGCCGTCTAGTTTCTTTGAAAAGTCTCGCGTTTATAAAAAAAACTAAATTCTTACTTTAATTAGAAAACCTGGGTGTTGTTGCTTGATTTTAGTTAAAGTAGTTCTTTATTTCAGTCAATAGATTGCCAACAAGGGCTTCGATTAATTAATTGATTGCGTAAGTTCTGAAGATAATAATTGATTGCTTCACGAACTCAGAGGGCAAAAATGTTTAATTCATTCATATCGATCGACATTCAGGATGAATGTGAACATCGGGTAAGAAATCTTGCAAACAGATTTTCTGCTAATGATATATCTAGTTACTTAATAACAAATATGATAACTCATGAAAACAGCTATAAGCTTATACTCGTAGCCCTGCCTTGAGGGCTGTAGGCAGCCAAATATATGTATTTGTCGACATCCAATAAGACTGGTGGGCGACAAAAGAGACAATAATAATATGGAATGGCGTTAACAAGAGCACTCAAAGGCAGACACCTTTTGATATAGAGAGCCCTTAGCTTTTTCTATTTCGCATTATTAGAATACGTATAACTTAGGTAGGTCGAGATTGATCAAGACAGATATTTTTGATTAGGTAGGTACTTGAACTTGCTTGACACCTTTAACCTAGTCAAATATCTGATTGTAACACTTTTTGCTTGTTTATTACGTTTTCACGTTTCAATTACATTTTTTTTCCCAATTTGAATGTATAAAAGAGAGCATAACACATGCTGAGTGGTTGCCATTTTGGTTCAAATTAAACTATGTAAGTAACTATGTTGTAAGTAGTCTAAGGATATTTGGACTAAATAAAAATATTTGGTCCAAATATCTTTCTTTTTTTCTTTCTAAAAGTGACATATATGGCGTGATGTTCTCCCTTAGTCGCCTCTTACGATATCCATGGGAAGAGTGGGAGTGGTTTTATTTCTACTCTGCTGAAACCAACGGTGTAGGCTAAATACTCCATTTGCCTCTTGTAATTGTAGAGTCGTATTAATAAATCTTTTAATTAAGTATTTTACAGTAGCAAAAACTACGATATACTTAGTTAATTATTTACATAGAACCTGGCGCGACCACAGCCCACTTTATCCGTTTCGGCCCAAATTAATTGAGTAAAGTAATTTGTCTTCCAATCCCGTGATCTGAAATAAAGCAGGGGTAATTATAAATGTCTCCCTTATCCAAAAGATGATTTCGTTTTTTGTTCAGAAATGAATGGGGACTTTTTCAACATTTTAAGAAATTACTTTCAAAAGGTATTGAATTGTTAATAATGGTTTTTGCAGAAAGTCATCCATTCTATTTATTTATACCTAGGTATTTTAAAGGGATAAAGCTAGAGTTACGTAACTAATTCATTATTTCCGGGTATAACCAGACCGGGCTTAGCGAGATAAGGACATTAGTCTAACTTTTTACTCGGGGAAGTTCTGTAATATCCCTAACATACCCCCTTTTAGGGACTCTGAAATTCTCCTAATTGAGTTCCTGGTGAAATTAACTTAAGTACATTATTTGTTGTTGGCAACCCCAACATTATTTGTAGCTTGGCAATTATTGTCATAACTTAATCCGTTTTCTGTGTCTCTTTGTATACCGCCACTGTAAAAGACTCTACTCTACACACTTAGCCGGCTTGATGTCGGAGGCTTTATTTTTTAAAAGAATCATGTCGACGTCTTGCACGTGTAAATACCTATCCGCGTGAGTTTTTGTGTAGACTGCATAAAGAATATACGTAGGTACGATAACTCACTGACCTCTACGTGCCTCTACTATTAGTAACAAGCTATATCAGTCCTCATCATCATCATTTCAGCCATAGGACGTCCACTGCTTAACATGCCGGTTGATAGCGGCCTGCATCCAGCGCCTTCCTGCTACCTTTATGAAGTTCTAGATTTCCGGATAAGACCTCCACTCCAGAACATTGCTGCCCCATCGGCCGTCAGTTCTGCATACTATGTGCCCTGCCCATTGTCACTTCAGCTTGCTAATCCGTCGGGCTATGCCAGCGACTTTAGTTCGTCTACGGATCTCCTAATTTCTGATTCGATCAGCCCTCACACTAAACATTTAACAATTTACGTACTTACTGATTGTAATAGGACACGCTGCCAGTGAATGCCCTTTTCTGCATGAACCACACATCAATCAAGCTCGTCACGTGCATTCCGGGCGAGGGCCCCGATATAGTTACGATGTTTTGACCCACTGCCGACTCCTCTGGAAGGAATATGATTAATTGCACCCTGAAAAACTTACGTTTTAGGGTTTTAGTAAGGGCACTTGAACCAAATAATCGTTGGTAGGTAAGTTTTGGATGGCTAGGCGAAAGTTAACAATATGTTACTGAAATTCAGGCCTGAACTGAAAGTGAAAATGTGTGATTTATCAACTATCTACCTACACTCTGAAAACTTAGGAGGTATTTAACTCGTAGATAGGAACTAAGTTATGCGAAGTTTAAGACGAGTGGCTAAAAGTCTTGAAATCTTAGGAAACTGGTTAATACTTAGCTTAAACTTCGTTTAAGCTCTAGATAAAATATATTATTATGTAAATGAGTATTATATAGAATGAATTGTTCTTTGAAAATCAACGTGGCTTTTTAGTAGGTACAAAGAACAAGTTAAGGTGGATTAACAAAAAGTATATTTAAGTGATTATTGGAAATTGATATTTTATGGAAATTGGAATCTGAAGGTTTAGTTATTTAGTTAGTTTTCTACTAGTATTTTCTAGGATCCTGTCATCCGCTTTGCAATGGAGGGAAGTCGAACCCGAACTTCGAACTCCTCCTATGTTCTTCTGATTAATTTCCTCCGGGACAAACTTGGTCTTCACTGGGTGCGTTTTTATTTACGGTAAAGCTATATATCCTGGACACACAGGAGTTGCAGCGGTGGGACGTGGGAACGAGAGGTGGGAAAGGTCCCGTAGTATTTTCTAGGAAATCCAATAAAATGGCGTTACCTAAATCACGGCATTCGTCTTCCTTGTCGGGGCGTGTAGCACTGTCGCACTGGTCCACCCACCTTTGGGCGAACTTCGCAAGCTCGTTTGACCAATACTGCAACGTTAGGAACTTGATAAATGTAAGTTTGTTATACTCTAAGGCTGAGTTGCACCATCTTAATTTTACCGTAACAATAACAATAACCGGTGCTTTTTGTATGGAGTTTGACAGATTTTTGACGTTTATCAAAGTTAAAGTAAGATGGGGCAACTCAGCCTAACTGTTACTCGTAGCACAGTACCTCTAGTAGGAAAAACTTTCGAGTTCGTTTCGTTGCGTATTCAAAGTGTCATCGAAAAATTTTGTATGAAAAATTAAACAGCGCCCCCTATATTATAGCCGCCCTAGGGGGCGCTGTTTAATTTTTCATACAAAATTTTTCGATGACACTTTGAATACGCAACGAAACGAACTCGAAAGTTTTTCCTACTAGAGGTACTGAATAATAATAAGTACTACGCTCGTAGTACGTAGTACTTATTATTATTCTGCGCTCGTAGTAAGAAAGAAGTACCTAAAGTAAGTTAATGTCATAATTCACATAGAAACCCTACAAATAATCCATTCATTATTTCTGTGGAAACCAAAATCTTTGAGAATTAAAAATTGAAAGCTACTCGTAACTAAATTGCAAAAGTTTACTGTAAGTAGGTATATTGTTTTATACTTTCATGGTCACTAACATAATTATTAATACTGATGGGATTGCTAACATGTTATGTATAATGTACATAGTAGGTAGCAATCCCGTCAGTAATAATAATTAGTTTACTGTTTATATATTCTTATAGTTACTACATCGGTTTATATCTCAGAAGCGTCTGTTACGTTATCTAAAGCAGCAACTAGTTGAATAGATATTACACTTGAGTGGACTCTACCTGTGTCACGAATTTCAAATCATATTCATCCCTAGTTTCTGAGTAAGTCTAGGTTGTTATACTTGACAAACTGTTGAGATAAAGCTATAAATCAATGCTTCAACGAACTGTTAACTGCTGTTGGAATTATTACCATACGGATACCCAAAATAATACAGATAAAAAGCATTTGTGAAAGATAAGTTTCTAACAATTTTGTTCATATTGGCGGCTCGGGGTAGAAGCCTCGACAAGCCCGCGGCGACGAAGTTTCTCTGCTCGTTAATTTTGTTAACAATATTATTAACATCATCCTTTGTGAGTGGAGTATCTTCGTATTCTTCGCAAGATGAACTTGGGCCCGACATCTGGAAATTTTAACTAATTATTTAAATACAGTTGGAGTCAATGAGCGCAGTGAATTTGTTTTTGTGTCCCTAAGGCTTTGTTCTATCATCTTTGTTAGCAACTAGCGTGGTAAATGAGATGTGACGTACACAATATTATGAAAATATGAAAGAGATTTGGTCAAAGTAGTCGAGATCGTTGTTATAATTTGCTATTTACTATTTTGTTATAATAAAACTTGTATCATGTCATATTCCTTTCCAACGCTCACCTAGGGCACTTCTGTGAAACGCAATTACTGTGCCAAGTAACATAAGGAAGAAAAATAAATCCGGAGTTGAGCTTTGTGTAAGGAAATATTGCTACGCATAGCTTGTAGCGTACGTATCTTCGTATACTAGAAGCTGTGTTATGAGTTATATTACGTGAGTAATACATTTTATGGTACTTATGGCTAAGAAGTTTACACCAGGTGTCTCCAGCGCTAAGTTGGCTACTTCGTGTAACTTATTAGATTTCTGTAATACTTACGTTGTATTTACAAAGTGTATGGTTAGGACATATTTCACAATATTTGAGAGAGCCGTTTACAAAATCGATATAAAAGAACAATACAATCAATTTCACATTTATCATAATAAATCATAAAATATAATTAATTCCCAATGACGTGTATAAAATGAAGTCGAAGCATCATGGCCCCGTAGATTTATTCATGGTGACTTGTTATAACATTAAAATGTCAGTCAAGTAAAATGGACTATCCTATTTTCATTGGTTATGTTTTTTGTGCCCCATATACTAATGTTTTTATTTATTTACCCAACTCAAGATAGTACTGCTTCAAATCAGAAAGATAAAATTCAAAATGCATTTTACGATAAAAGAACCACTCTACGAACAGAAGGTATTTTATTGTATCCGATTGTATTCATAGAACAGAATTTGAATTTTAGGGAAATAACCAATACTGACATTATATCATTGTTGCAGGTTACATTCAGAAAAATGCAAGTGTTATCAATCATAACATTTTATTCCAAATTATTCAAAATCTTACAAACACCAAGGCTCCGAACTTAAAATCAAACGTTTTCGATAAAATGCTGTCCGATGAAATGCTATCTATCAAGAGACATTTTTATGATAAAGATGTAAGAAGCACAACGTCTGTCACGACCCCTACTAAAAACAATCCTCCCACTCCAACTTTAGAATTGAAACAAAAATGGCCTCTAATAGGGTTCACTGAAAAGCCAGTTAATATAATCAGGAATGAAAACTCATTGAAAACTAACAATAAGATTAGAAAGATACTACCAGCTTTCAAAATTGGCGATAAAAGTGACAATATTGAGGAAGAATTGCAGAACGTGGAGAAAACCATAGATAAAAACGATAAAGTTTTGGGTTTGAGAAGCTTACCTGAAGTAAGGCAACCTTCTCACCGTAATATTTACCAACAAACGGAGTACAAGATGTGTACATGTATGAAAACAAATCCATCTACTTGTAGTCACCGTTGTACTGGAGGCTCGACTGCTTGCTCTCACAGTACTCCCACTAGCAATTGCCTTCATTGTACACAAACAATTCCACAATATACCGTTTCCCCTGTATATTATCAGCCATACTTTGTCGGTATGACAACACATGTACCGTATATAAACGCTTACTATCATCCCGATGTGATAAACGAGTTAAAAGTTCCAAGAAAACCGAAACATAGAAAAACTACTACACCTCATATCGACAAAGAATTATATTATGACACCGATGATCCTAATTCGGACCAGCATAAAGATAACTATGATGAAAATTTAGATTATTATGAAGATGTAAGTAAACATAATAAAAATGAAGAGAAAGAGCACACTATAAAATTACATGCGGTTGAAAGAGATGAAAAAGGGAAACGTAAACATAAGCACAAAAATTGCCATGTGAAGGGTGACACTCGAAAAAAACTGGTTCAAGATATCTTTGATGATTTGAAGACTTATTACAGTGATTCTGTGATAAAAGATTGCTATTGTACATCCTCGTCTTCATTGGTTGACATCAATAACTTTGTATTGTTTGTTGCGTATCTCTTATGTGTGCTATAAATAATTATAATCCAATAAACTCGACACTTTCTCTGCGTGTTTTTGTGTAGGTATAACGTAGAAATGCACGAAAGAAATTCGTATTATAAGGATCGAAGCGCGTTATCTATGAATAATTCAAAACTACACAGTAGTGTTGAAATGTAGTTTGTGGGCTAAAGCGGGAAAGTCAGTGTTATTTCGGCGTGCCTGTGTCGCAGGGCGACTTGTAAATCTTTCTCGAGTGATTAATGTCTACAAAATGACGCTTAACATTATGTCGTGTGTTTTTGTTTGCTCTTTTTACGACTCTTGCTTTTAATGTCATTTTGTATTTTTCTTTTTCTGACTTGTTTTTCTTTTATAGTTTCGGTATCCTTTGAGATGGTACGTAAATATGTACTAAACTAGCTAGGTACAAATTATTTATATTTATGAGCCGATACAGCTGGGCACCTGAAAAGTTATAATACTTACAAAGAGATATTTTTTAGGCTTCGAGAAATATTTCAAACTTACAAATAACTGTAGCTTAGATACTAAATTTTTGAATTTTCAACAAAGACAAAATTATGACTTTCTCTGGGTAGAAAGAGACTTAATTATGGAGGCTTTTGTTCCAAATATCTTATTATTCTTCTGATTCGTTCGATTAAACACTCTTTGTGTTAATTAATGTTTGTGGAGAGTTTTGGGATCAGTAGAGTGTGCGATTGACGGGATAAATAATACGTCTCTATGGAATCAATGTAGTGTTTCATAGATGTCTTTGTTAACGAGCTCGCTGCGGGTGAGATGGAAGACTTTGTATAGATATTTTGGGAGGGAAAATGAGGGAAAATAATTTAAGCAACGGGAAAATGAATTAATTTCCGCACTAATTTAAGAGGATGGTATAAAACAAAACATGGTCGAAGTCTGGAATTCACTTGAAATCTTGCAATCAATAAATACCTACTTATTACACAACTCACAAGTCATGCAAGAAAAAAAAACAGTGTCAGTTGGAGTGAACTTTTCAATAGTAGAGCTACAATAATGACCAGTGACCACAATGAATTAAGAAACAGTAAAAATGGCCGCATTCAATTAGCTAGAAACATCCCGAGAGTGCATTCTCAATTGCAAGAATAAGATTTCAAAGACCCTCTTTAAAAGTTTCTCCAAATTAGACAAAGGAAAAATAACAATCCTAACAGATTTAAACAGATATTACCTTATTAAGTGTACCTAACGTAATCGTTTTAATAGACTTCAAAATAAGATAATATTATCTGTTAGGGCTGGTATCTGACAGTTATAATTAACAGTCAGGAGAATTTCGGTTGTTAAATAAATATTTTAACTCAATCAAATAAGAAGAAATAATGTTCAACTCTGAAATATATCGGAGATTAAAATTATAAATCGTTTAGTACACTGTATGTGCTTGTTAAATGCCAGCCAAATTAATAGGGCCCAAATAAATTTGCTTTGCACAGTGTCCTTCTAAATGAGTAAGGATTTAATAAGTGATATAAATTAATAACGCCCGGTCCTTTAACGAAAATTTCTGGTCGAGGGTCAAGTTTGGGAGAATCCAGTTAATGTGAGTATTAGCTTGCCTACGTAATAACTATACTTCTATAGGTACCTACTAATATTATAAAGCTGAAGTTTATTTGCTTGAACGCGCTAATCTCAGGATCTACTGGTCCGATTTGGAAACATCTTTTTGTGTTGGATAGCCCATTTAATAGAGGAAGACTTTTGTGTAATATCACCCTGCAGCCAATAGGGGCGGAGCAGTAAGGAAAAATCTTACAAAAACGGGAAATATTCAAACTATTTTCACGCGTACGAAAATGGGCGTGTTGTTTATGAGGGGTACAGAGGACACAGTCCTAATAAAAAGTGTCAAGAGGCAGTTGCCAATAGGAACCTATATCAGCATTTCCCGTTATTGAATGCGCAACGAGTTTTATTTGTTTTTTAGAGTTCCGTACCCAAAGGATGCGAATGGGACGCTATTATAATAATGCTTCCGCTATATCTCTACATAAATGCTGTCTATAACCGTAGACATAGATGGTAGACAGTTGAAAATTTTCTATTGTTAAGGAATGAAATCAATTTGAAGGCCCGTCCATAAAATAGCGATGGGCGTTATTCGTTATCACGGGTTATTAAACGAGTGATCAGCCTAACCAGTGATCACTCGTTATCCAGAAACGCCTAAACTAGTTTTTTTCTTAACGTCATACAACGTTAGAATCTCTTCGTTATTCAACACGATTGTTTCCACAACGCTCTAAAGCTAAACTGAATTCACTCTTAAGCAAACAACATAAGGTAGATGTTTGGTTGACATAAAAAATAACGTGTTTCCCGCTTCGTTATGACAGATTTGAGGACAACGTCGTACATTGACGATTTTTAAACATATTTTTTGTAACCTAAAGGAGTAAAGCGAGTAATGTATGGTGTCCAATTAATAAGGATCGCAACGAAACGAGTGCGTGTGCGAGTGAGAAAGCCATAGGACGTTAACATAAGTGTGGATGAAATAGGTATAATGTTCGTCGTACGTTAGATATTCAATTGAATTTGAGTCTTATTTTGAAGGTCATAAGTTCCTAATTGCCTTGCATCTAACCAAACACCTAACGTTATAATTATCACGCTTGCTTGAGAGTTGTGGAAATAACTTCGTTTAAAAAAAACTAGTTTTGAAAACGTTATTCGTGATTCGAAAACCGTCGCGTTTAGTTATTTCAAAAACCCATAACGACACATCTTTACCATAAAATAAACTTCCGGACTAGCAGTCATAGAAAGCCTATAAAGACAATAGCATTTGACAGCTCATTTAAAGTAGGTAGGTATGTTTGATTCTAAATACCCAGTTATTACTGAGTACACTCTCAACCTGGGTTAGATTTTCAGTTACATTAGCAGGCTCATTATGCCAGACATCTACCACGGCGGTTCATTAAGTCTAACACAGGGTTATGAATTCGGTTCTTAAAACCCACACGACCCCTAATTATAAAATAATATGCCACGTGCTTGGAAAATCGATCTTATCTTGCTAAGTACTCCATATCCACTCGCAAAGAAATACCGTTTTCCGAAAATATTGAAAACGTTGTCGGGTACAAATTATATGCTAATAAACTTTATCGAATAAAACTTATCTACGATAGCCTAAATTTAGTGTACAGCTTTCACTTTTAAATTAGTGATTTACTAATAGATAGTATCTAAATGAGGCTTGGAGTAGCAGTTGACCTTACCTCAGGGGCCTATAAATTTTCGTACGTGTTACGAAGATATATGGGTAGCAAATCAGAGGTTTTATAAATACCTAGTTTGTAAGATAAAACTTGTTACTTAACTACAGAAGTTAGCTATGAGTGCATTCCTTAACAAAGCCATAAAGTATTTATATGTACCTACATAAGTACTAGCTTTTGCCCGCGGTTTCACCCGCTTGAAATTTAGTTTGTCACATATCGTCATAAATTATAGCCTGAATTATATTCTGGATTATAAACAATAATACTGTAAAGTTTCATCAAAATCTGTTCAGTAGTTTTTGCGTGAAAGAGTAACAAACATCCATCCAGACATCCAAACTTTCGCATTTATAATATTAGTAAAGATATAATCTTAGCTGAGACTAAGGTGTGGCTTTTGTTAGTTTTGGATGTTCTAGCTAAAGTCATGAAACGACAATATCCGAATGGTGACGGTGTCAGATTGGCTGAATCGAGATCCAAGGAACGCGGGTTCGATCTACGCTGCCGCTGGACTGTTTATTATGGTGAGCTCACTCGAAACACAAGCTTAATTAAATTGCCACTTTGAAAAAAAGGACATCTAATTTAAGGTATTCCTAAATTGAGTTAGGTATTTGACCGGCTACAGTAATAGCACTTAAATTAAAAAAAGCAATTAGAAGCACGTAAGTACGTTGCTATCGTCTGCGGTAAGGTATTAGATGGGAAAGGACCGAGATGTATCACAAAAATAATTAAATAATTCAATCTGGTCACGTATGATATAACACCAAAACACGAACAAGGCTTGCTTGCTACGTTGTTCGGATCTTACGCAAAAAAAAAAACAATAAAAGCTTGTTAATCTGTGGACCGTTAACACCACAGACTGGCCATAAATAAAAGAAGAAATTCTAATTTGGTGACAAAGCGAGAAACAAACAACTGTTTTCTTGAATTTGAAATTGTATAACGCATAAGGCTAACCTCCGACTAGTTTTGCTTTAATGAAAACTAAAACAATGCTTAAACAAAATGCAAATTTAAATTTCATACAATAACAACTTACTTAGATAATTAGTTTTGCGGGTTGAACACCCCATCGCTGACCATTTCATTGTAATTTCATTCATGAATAATAATTTTCGAACTGGTAAAGGGGAGTTAAAGTTAAATGTTGATGAAATGTATAATGCAAAAGTGGTCTTTAAAGTTTTAATCATACATTATAATTTTGCTTAGATTTAAGATAATTAAAAACAGTTTTCTTATTAGAAATTTTTATACGCCAACCCATCATCACTGTAATCTAATACTGGATTCAGCTGAGTTTTCCATATTCTAGGCTTAGTTTCAGTTTTACCGTTTCCTAAGTTTTTAATTTTTATTATTTTGTAAAGTTTGTTAGTTGCATTTTTTTCAATACAAAATAACTACAACCTACCAAAAAACGAAAGATTACGATGGTTCTAGGTGTGTTCATGCATAAAAAAACACTGCTGGAGTTGGTAACAGGAGTTGTCTGGAAGATATCGCTTCCTATTGAAAAGACCACGTAAATAGTTCCTTAGTTTTTGTATTTCTTGTGTGGTTTGCAATAAAGAGGTTTGTAGAGGGCGCCACGTTGGGTCGCCCTATTTCTAAGAGGGGGAACCTGACCTACAGAGAGAAATGACCAAAACCAATTGTATAGGGCTTTATCTCGTGTTTATTGCCAATCAACCTATGACTAAATTACACGAACAAAGCAGACAACCTCTCAAGTTACTAAGCTAATATAAAATAAGTAAAGTTAGGATCGGCATGTACATATGAACAGTACTTAATAGTAAGCAATACTAATTGCATCGACTAAATAATCTTATGGCAAAGCATGATTTTAGTGTTCAAAGCAAAAATGAGGATCGGTATATGCATTTGAGCCGGATGCAATGGTAAACTATACAATTGTATTTACTTGATAAACTTTATTACAAAAGCGTGAGTAATTCAATTAGAACACAAAACAAGGATCGGTTTATGCATATGATCTAAACTTAATTGAAAACTAAACAATTACGTCTAATTAATAAAGTTCATAACAAAAGCATGTGCAAAGCATAAAACTAGGATCGGCGTATGCATTAGGGCCATATTTAGTACAATAGCATTTACTTAATAAATTTTATAGCAAGAAGCGTGAATAATTATCTAAGTCTTAAAAACAGGATTGGATTATGCATTTGAACCAAGCATGAATATAAATAATGTCAACATCTAATTAGCGAAAATAAGTTAATTGATTATTACAAGGCAACAGTTAAATATCTATAGATCTATCTATCTATCAGCACGTGAAGCGTGCATAGGACGATACAACGCGATGTCCAGCCAGTTCCGTGTTACGGAAGCAGACCTTACCATCGCGGTGTGTGCGAGTTCAATCCGGCGGGCGCATCGTGTTCCGTGGTACGGAAGCGCGGAGCGTCGCGGACGAACTGCCTTCTAGGCCGGCTCGCACGCCTTTTATAGCCAGCCGGTGAGCGCGTGTGACGCACGCGGCGGCGAGCGGGGTCTCGGGGCAGGGTAAACCGGCTGCGCGCGCGCGTAGACCTCGCTGTGACGTAGTGGCAGGCTCGGTGCTTGTCGCTCGAAGTAAATAAAAGGGCGCGCCGTGTTACAGGCTCGGGAGGTCATCTTCTTCAGCCGACCACGCTCACGCATGGCTCGGCGGAGGTGGCTCGGGAGGTCATCTTCTTCAGCCGACCACGCTCACGCATGGCTCGGCGGAGGTGGCTCGGGAGGTCATCTTCTTCAGCCGACCACGCTCACGCATGGCACGGCCTCTGGTTGACCACGCTTCCGCATGGCACGGCGGAGGTGGCTCGGGAGGCACCACCATAGACTGGCTGACCTGGGCAGGGGCGCTGTCTCAGCGCCCTGGAGCAGGCGGGGCGCTGTCTCAGCGCTCTGGAACAGGCGGAGCGCTGACGAGTGGTACAGGCCCAGGCAATGGTCAGGAGCAATGGGGTCTGCAATTTCAAAAGAACTAGGTCCATAACTTCGTAAGATCATAATTAGGGCCAATATCGCGCCCTGGTTTCTAACTTGGTGCTGACCCTCGGGCGTTCTCAAACTTCTCCCGTAAGGAATAATTTCCTCCCTCCCCCTGTATCCAAACAGGGCTGATGTGACCGAAGAGCTTCTTCCCTCTTCCTGTATCGAAGCAGGGCTTGAGTTTTTCGCTGCTAACATTCATTTCATCCCTAACACTGGTACCATTGTAAGCCCGCTTGCAACTTCCGAACTCATCATGGAAGGTTGAGGTGACTTTGGAAATCCAGGTGTGGTTACCATAGGGGAAACAATTCGCGGAAGGGCATATTCCTCCTTCAGCTTTTCGCTGCTATTAACCTTCATCTTTTCAAATTATATCTTGGATGGGCTCCTCCTGTTACTCGTGAACAATAGAAGGGTCTTCCAAATCTTTGGCGGCCTGTGGTAGTACCTACCACGAATGACGAATCTGCCAAAGTAGGTACTCGTGTTACGAGTCTAGCCTATCTTAATTAGCCTAACCCTATCTCGACTAATACCTAACTCGCGAGACTAAGAGAGAAGGTTGTCTGTGCGGTTTTGGTCTAGGTTTGGATTCGTGCCTCGATGGGACCCAGTTTATTAGAGGGCCCCACACGTTGGGACGCCAGTTTGTAAGAGGGCGCCACGTTGGGCGCCAGTTTGTAAAAGGGCGCCACGTTGGGACGCCCAATTTATAGAAGGGCGCCACGTTGGGACGCCAGTTTGTAAGAGGGCGCCGCGTTGGGTCGCCCTATTTGTAGGAGGGGAACCTAACCTACAGAGAGAAATGACCAAAACCAATTGTATAGGGCTTTATCTCGTGTTTATTGCCAATCAACCTATGACTAAATTACACGAACAAAGCAGACAACCTCTCAAGTTACTAAGCTAATATAAAATAAGTAAAGTTAGGATCGGCATGTACATATGAACAGTACTTAATAGTAAGCAATACTAATTGCATCGACTAAATAATCTTATGGCAAAGCATGATTTTAGTGTTCAAAGCAAAAATGAGGATCGGTATATGCATTTGAGCCGGATGCAATGGTAAACTATACAATTGTATTTACTTGATAAACTTTATTACAAAAGCGTGAGTAATTCAATTAGAACACAAAACAAGGATCGGTTTATGCATATGATCTAAACTTAATTGAAAACTAAACAATTACGTCTAATTAATAAAGTTCATAACAAAAGCATGTGCAAAGCATAAAACTAGGATCGGCGTATGCATTAGGGCCATATTTAGTACAATAGCATTTACTTAATAAATTTTATAGCAAGAAGCGTGAATAATTATCTAAGTCTTAAAAACAGGATTGGATTATGCATTTGAACCAAGCATGAATATAAATAATGTCAACATCTAATTAGCGAAAATAAGTTAATTGATTATTACAAGGCAACAGTTAAATATCTATAGATCTATCTATCTATCAGCACGTGAAGCGTGCATAGGACGATACAACGCGATGTCCAGCCAGTTCCGTGTTACGGAAGCAGACCTTACCATCGCGGTGTGTGCGAGTTCAATCCGGCGGGCGCATCGTGTTCCGTGGTACGGAAGCGCGGAGCGTCGCGGACGAACTGACTTCTAGGCCGGCTCGCACGCCTTTTATAGCCAGCCGGTGAGCGCGTGTGACGTACGCGGCGGCGTGCGGGGTCTCGGGGCAGGGTAAACCGGCTGCGCGCGCGCGTAGACCTCGCTGTGACGTAGTGGCAGGCTCGGTGCTTGTCGCTCGAAGTAAATAAAAGGGCGCGCCGTGTTACAGTTTAACTTAACTTTGGTATTTATCTAGAATTCCAGATTCTTAAACTGTACTAAAAGAATAAATGTTAAAAAAGTTTTGCAATTTTATTAATACCTATTTACAACGTTGCGTAAAGTAATTAAGGATAAGTACCGTCAAGAGAACAATAGCAAGTCATTTGTCGTACAATATAATTACATAATTTCATCTAATTATAACGAAAGAATTCATAATCTGCTTTCTTGTAAGTTCTTACTAAATACACCCAAGTTGTTTCATACTTTATTTAGTCTTTAAGCTCTAGAGATTTGTTTGATCTTGAGTTTATATGAGTTGAGCTATTTTAAGTATAATCTCTTGTTCCCTAATCTAAATTTTTAATGCTATAAAATAATAATCTACTCGTAGATGTTAATTAGGTTAGTTGATAGTTTATAAATATTAATTTGCTGGTTGTATCGCCTTCAACGTTAAAATATCACTAGAATTTTTGTGAAAAACTCAAATTTACGTGCCTGAAACCGCGGATTTAGCAATTATGTATTTTAGTTTAGTGAAAGATTTTAAATTAGCTTTAGTTCCTGGTTATCTATTGTACTAAGTTGTATATTATTTACTTATATCTTCTGACAGGCAAGCATCCTCCATAAATTAGCTTTGTATGGTGGGATACAGATTGTTTATCGTCATTACGTGACACTGCGAAAGCATGCTAAATTAATGGTTGTCTTGTTCCCGTCTAAATTTAGATTTAATTCTAAACGGAAAACACATTTATTACAGACTCCAATCTAACTCCCATAACGCCATGGCATCCCCGTAAAACGTTGAAACGTGTGTGAATTCGCATTGAGGCTTTCATTTTATTTCGTAATTCTCTAATGAGAGAGGATGAAAGTCTGAAAAAGTAATTAATTTCAATCATCACTTGTTTACAGTTTAAAAAAGCTCAGTTCATTTATTTTATTTAAGGAGGGTCTAACGAGTGTTTGCTCAACTAACGTTTTCTGACGATTTCTCCAAAATCACTCAGTTTAACGAATACGACACTTGAGGAAAAGGCAGATTTAAATTAATTTCGATGTTAAATCTCACTCAATATTCTTTCAGCTTTTGTTCATCTGCATCTATTTTTGTTTGCAAGGATTTTCCTTCCCTGTAATCTTTTAAGAGGGAGATTCTAAATGAAAATGATGTTTCACACACCAAGTTAGGTACTTCCTGTGGCATCTTGTGCCTTATTTCAGTAAGATAGGTGTGGTTCTTGCAATTTCTTTTTTACAAGATAGATGATTGATGTACGAGCAACTTTACAGTGCTTCCTTCTTATGTTCCATATTTCTAGAAAAAAAATAACTTCCAAATGTAATATTAGGATAAATAAGAATAACAACAAAAAGTGTTCTGAATTTGCTTTTATGTGTAAAAAATAGAAAAAACCATATCAATGAATGTATGAAACATGAACTTAGAGATGATTTAATTTGTTGCCAATTTTTTTTTCTTTCTTCCTTTCTTTCTTTTTAATTATTAAAAGATACCAAACACCCATAAGTGTAAGATTCACTTTTACAAGAGACATTCTAGGTACTATGAAGATGGAACATTCAAATCGCTATAACTTCATAATAAGCAAATATTTTTGATTTGTAATCGCACTTTTTTATATAAATTTGCTTTTTACATATAATCAGAATATAATAAATGTATGCAAAAAAATCCGGTCAAAAAAATAATTTTTTTTTCCGCTTGTAATTTTGTTCCGCTTTCGTAACCAAATGGCGTGTCAACGTTTTTATTATTATATCTGTCAAGTGAATTTGTCAGTGAATTTTCCGAATCGATTAATATAACTAAGCACCATCGGATAATCGAGTTTGATAACTAAATCAACCGTGAAATGAAGGCTGGAATATTTTTTTATCTACACTCATTGGAATAATTGAGACGTGCCTCGGAGATAAAGTTGTGAGATTCATTTCGAGGGCTCTGAACCGTGGGGTAATTACGAATCTTTGCAACCATTTGTTAAATAGCAACACGACTCACAATCACAGCGCCCCGTTCAATCACGGATGGCGCTAGTTTTCATACCCTTACATTTAGGGTAGTTTCCAAAAAAAAAATTTAGTCCGCCAATTATTATTAAAAAATATTAAACAAATATTTTTTATTTCTCAATACAACAAGTAATTGGGAAGTTATGAAGATGCGTTGAAGATCTGCTTGACGTCACAAAGTGCTACACTTTTAAGCACTCCTTGACGTCACGGGCCTCTTCTTTTGAACTTTCGCGCCCTTTATCTCTTTCAATTTTCATTAGTTTCAAAAAGTGAAAGATAGGTACGTGTCGAGTTTTTTGATAAGTTAACGGACTAATTAAAACTCCTGCTTTTTACCCTGGAAATATCCCTAAGCAACCGGTTGATAAGATTGGTTATTTAACCCATCGGAGTGTTTAGTGACTGGACCGACAAAAAGTAATGCCTTGTTAAATCGTTGTTACACTTGCATTGACCAATTTCAGCTGTAAATAAGATGTCTGCGCTTTAAGTTACTATCCATTATGATTTTCTGGTTAAACAAGAGAAGGTTAGAATTTTAGGTATTCCGTTTGATGACTTACTTGACTTATGGTCCTTTATCCCCTAGATGGGGCAGAGGGCGTCCACAACAGTCCTCCATCTCATCCGGTCTTGAGCTTCTCGCTTGATTTCGCTCCAGGTCTTGCCGATCTTCTTTGCCTCGTCCGCTACAGTGCGTCGCCAAGTCTGCCTGGGGCGACCACGTTTGCGTTTTCCTTGGGGATTCCAATCCAGAGACTGCTTAGGGATGAGAGTGTGGCCAATCCAGTTCCACTTGCGGCGCTTGATCTGCTGGTCGATCGGAATTTCGTGGCAGCGTTCTAATAGCTCGACGTTGGAGATTTTCTCGGGCCAGTATATACCGAGAATTCGGCGAAGGCAGCGGTTGATGAAGACCTGCAGCTGGTGCCAGATAACCTTGGTGACCTTCCACGTTTCACACCCATAGAGTGGAACGGATTTAACGTTGGACGCAGACGCAGAACGGATTTAACCCAAATATTTTGATCTTGGCCATATGGGGCGAAGTTGTGCGAAGGTAGCTCTGGCCTTGGCAATGCGCTAAGTGATATCCTCTTCGGTACCTCTAGTTTCTGACACGACGCTCCCGAGGTCGGTGAAATTGTGGACTCGTGCCACATCCTCTGCACCAATCCGTAATGGCGTGCAATTTCTCACTCCAGATCGCATCTCTTGGATCTTCCGGCAGTTAATTTTGAGCCCTGTGATACCCGCTTCTCGATGTAGGTCATCAAGTTTGGATTGCATATCGTGATGCGTGTGGTTCAGCAAACAGAGGTCATCGGCATAATCTAAGTCTTCTAAGACTCCGATTATACCCCACTCTATTCCACGTCGTTGGTCTTGATATGCGCGATTCATGACTCCATCCAAGACAACCAGAAAGAGAAGGGGCGAAAGCAGGCAGCCTTGCCGGACGCCCGCATGCACCTCGATGTTTTCGGAGATGAGGCCGTCGTGAGTCACCGTACAAGA